TAATTAAATAGAATGTCAGACTTTGGTTTTAAATTCGACCAAGGTACACTAAAATTCACTCCAACAAAAGTCACTACATTTTTTTAAATCTCGCGCACCATCTAGTGGCAGCTCGCGCACACAACACTTTAGGAACACCCCGCTTTATTGTATTTTCTTTCTTTTTTTGGGAAGGGTGTAGTTGTTTCATGGATGCTGTTGTGTGTATGCAGATCTCTGGAGGACTGTTTAACAGCCCAAGGCTGTGCTGGGCTGGAACCATTCAGAAGGGATCTGGAGAAAACAGCAACTCAGCTCCAGTCTGCCCGAGCCTGTGAGGTGCATCTCAAGGCTGAGGTGGTCAACCTGAGGGAGAGGTGAAAGCTAGTGTTCATCTATAGTCACACTGTTATTATGTCCACCATCAAGGGTTGAGGGGGTTCGAGTCATATTTACTCTGTTTGAGTATCTGTGGCTGACATTATTGAAAAAGCATCTAAATGTGGTCTGGTCGAGGATGTGGTTAATTATTGAGAATGAGAAATAATAATAATAATTGAGACCATAAACGATTGAATAACAAGAATGTCCATTCTATATCTTTTTCTTTTATATTCTAGGATATCTTTAGTCATATTTTTGGATGCCACAAAATGTGACTTTAAACAAAGAATTTTAACCACTGAAAGTTAAACACTTAAAAATCTACTTTGTTGATCTGTTTTTTTCTTTATTAATTTTTACAGGCTGGAAAACCTGAACCGACAGAAATCTGATCACACAAATACAGAACAAGATCTACGGAGCCTGAGAGCAGAGTATGACTGTGGTGTTGCGGAAATAAAAAAGGTCCGTTTTTTATTTTTTCCTCTTCTTTTAATTCTGTGTTTTATCTTGTCATTGATGTCATTGATTCAAAAACTATCATAATACAGCTCAAAGAAGAGCTTCACAGAGCCAGGCAGAGTCACAGTGACGAAGTGGACAGGCTGAGGAAGGAGGTGTCGAAGATGACCGACGAGCTGCGTCAGCGTGACCTCACTATTGACTCGCTGAAGGGATCTTTGTCCAACATCACGCAGCAACTCCGTGCCGAATTGGAGCGAGAGAAACAGAGGGCCGCAGAGCTACAGGTGAGTGAAACTGCAGATTTAAGCTTTGTAAAAATTTGAAAACTATAGTTGTCGCAATGCCATTGTTTTTACAAACTGATAAGAATAGTACTGATACTGATACTGAATCTTCGCCGTAACTGACATACTGTACACATTGGACCTAAGTCACTCACCCACGCTAACACAGTGGTAACATCATAATCTAGGACATAAAAACATCAGAAGAGTCTGACTTATTCCTGGGAGCCATAATGTAGGGCAAAAAGTTCCCAAAAATACAAACAAAAGAAAGTGAATGTAGCGCAATCCAATGCATGGCGTACAAACGGTGAATCTAAATAAAACTAGCTTCTGTAAATAGCACGGCATGATGATCCGAACTAGTTTCTTTAGCACGTACAAAAATAACTGTTCCTAATTCTAAGAAATAGAAATAGAGATATATTGCAGGCTTACTCTCGATCTGATTGGTATTGGTCGAATGTTGGTCAGAAGTTCAAGATTTAACATAAAAGGAAATGTTATAATACGTCCAAACCGCTGACATTGTTGACAAACCTAAAGAAACCACGCATGAAGACATGAGACGCCCGAACTGCAGTAGGAAAACAACACTGGTCCTGCAGTATCAGGTTGATGGATTGGTGCGTGTTTTCGACTACAAGAACGATGAGTATTTAATAAAGTATTGGTGCCCATCTCTACTTCTAAGCAGGGAAAATGTGATATGGTAGTGGCTAAAAAAACCTCTTTATTCCAAGTTGGTCATCTTAGGTATTCTCACTGCAATCAGTTTCTATGTCAGTCATAAAATGCAAATCTGTGTCTCATTCACTGCACTGTCGTATTACTTAGACTGTTAGACCTGTCTGTTCTAGATTCCTTTGTGCTTCTGCTGTTACCAAAATCAGTTGTTTTGTTATTTTGTTTACGTTTACAGGTGACTCGGACTCAGCTGGAGGTTGTAAAAACTGAAAATCACCGTCTGAAGGATCTGCTGCGCCAACCGGGGATTCGCTCCTCCAAAGTTTGTTTTAATTTAGTTCTGAATCTAACGGCCGTAACGGTACAAACCATTCTATTTAAGTAACACGTTTAGAAATGTAATTTTTGGTAGAAATTTTTTTAATGTCAAAAAAAAAATATTGTGGACCCTACCGCCATTATATTAGAGTCAACTTAACATATGAAGCTGTGCAATATATTGTATATATTTATATTTATAAATATATGTATGTATATATGTTTGTGTGCATATATATGTCCAATATGTGTTTATGCATATATATGTACAATATATGTGTGTGTGCATATATATGCACAGTATATGTGTGTGTGCATATATATGTAAAATATATGTGTGTTTGCATATATATGTACAATATGTGTGTGTATATATGTAGATATATATATATATACAGTGTATATATGTATACACTTTTTCTTAAAATGACTCAAAATGTTTCTTACAGTGATGTCATTACCCTGGTACATATCAAACAGTGGCTTCTCTGTACCGTTACACCCCTAATAAATGTTTATCCTGTGGGGTTTTTACTAAATCCAAATATGACATATTTCAATACATCCTCCCTGAAACCCTCTGTTCTCCTCAGCAGGAGGATTCCTCCGGAACAGCCATGCGAGAAAATCACATGTCCTCGCAAAGCAGCCTAGAACAAGAGAACGAGATGTTAAGACAGGCACTCACTGCGATACATGCAAAGAAATCTGAACAAACCTCTGCTCAGGACAGGTAGTTTCCATATACACGAGTAAACAGTAAGAGTATGTTACAAAAACCTGATAACTCATGCACCTGCTGCACTTTGCATTTTGTAGAATTAAAGTTATGGACCAAAAGAAAAAGCAAGATCACGTGAAAGTCTTAGAAGCCAAGCTGCCAGATCCTGGCCCTCACCATGAAGCAGAGAACCAGAAGCTCTTTAAAAAACAGCATCCACTGTCCCAATCTCCATCAGAGCAACCCTGCAGCCAAACCCCAGATAATGGATCCCCTTCATCATCATCGACCTCCTCCTCCTCCTCCTCCTCCTGCAATAATTAAAAACTTACCAAGAAAGACTCTGTGCCAAGGTCAGGTAACACAGACTCGATGATGAGAGTAACGACTCCTTCTTCCCCTCCGGTAAGTCCGCATCCACAGTTGTGTTAAAGCAAAAACAACTTACCTTCTCTAATATTTAAGGTTTCACCTTGTTCTTATTTTTTCCTCCTTCGCAGGAGCAGTTATCACTATCACCGCCAGATGGCATCGTAAGTCGTTTTCTCGAGAAAGAAACGATACTGAGCCAAGCGCTGTTTCAGAGACTGGACCACCACATCCAGGGAATGAAAGACGACAACCTGAGGACTGTCTCCAAGTGTCTACAGCGTGTCCCAGAACCTGTGTCCCAGCCGGCGTCTGTTCAGAATGATAAGTGACAGAATAAGATGGAACAAATCGAAAGTGCCGGGAACTTATCAAATGAGGGGTGCACCATAGTACTTAATAAGGATCAAGCGATTGTTTTAAATTTTTTTTTATGTATAAAGCGTCAAAAAATAAAAAAAATTGCGTTGACCCAACTTATAAAAAATGATGTGAAGCCCTTTAGCGCTTATGTGTCTTTTTATTTGTACGTCGTCTACCATTAGCCTCAGCTTCGGTGGCATCTGTGAATAATAAAACAGCTCTATATAAAGGGCAGCTGGTAGGAAATGGGAAAAAAATAGTTTAAAGAATTTCGCACCCTTGTTATGAAGTGAATTGTGAATATGAATTGGGTCCAGGTTTGAATCCACTTACACCAGTATGTGTAACATGTCTTGGTTATATTTTCCACATCTTAGCATTCGTGTCCAGGGGAACATGGAGGCCAAAACGCCAAATATGGATTAGACAGCCAGTTCAGAACAGCTGACGTCCAGTTGGGTCCAGGTTTGAATCCACTTACACACACCTCCACCACCATGTGTGTTACTGCTGCTAGTAGAAATAAAATATACACAAGTTCACTAAAAACAACACCATAAATGTCCCCAATAGATTTGTCCCCCCCAAAAAAAGCACAGAAGTGCTCGATGCAACTTGGGTCATGGGACTCGAACCCATTCTGATTAAGTGTAAACCTGTACCCACCTGATGGCCCTATTTTTCTACCATTTAATGGAATGCTTATTGGCATTTTAATCACTTAATTTTGCTTAATTTATGCCGATATTGCTCAAACACTTAATTTCCGATTCAGATATCAACCGATACCGATATGGGCCTTGTCATTTTTTTTTATCTGTACAAACCACTGTATGAGTTGCTTGCACCGGCATACTGCATACAATCCCCTGATAGTTAAAATAGATTAATTAAATGAGCTGCAATGCTGCCATCTAGTGACTTTTACTTAAGTTTACAGATGTTTTTCCCCAGAACAATTTTTATGCCACACATTATTTGGTGTAACCCCTACACTGCGTTATCTGGTTTTTATTATCGGAGGAAAAAAAGGATAACGATTCTTACAGATATTAAATAATTATGCTAAAAACGATCGGTCGATATTATCCGACATCCCTACCGTTTTTAGGACCTTTCTAGATCCACCGTCATTACACTGAACATTTGTTTCAGTCATACTCTACATGCCCTTTTTCTGCTATCGCAGGTATGCACATTTCAATTTGTCACGTCGACTCGAGCGCTTGAAATTACTAACGTGCGCTTTACGTCCACGTCGGGAGAAAAGAATGTAGCTGTGAGCCAGAGGAACGTTCTCCTGTCTGACTGACAAAACACCACACACCGTCCACGTCACCCAGACCTCTGAGACAGTGGAGAGGTTCAAACTGTACTCCTGCTCCCCATCACCGTCAGTCACAGTCAGAGGCCCCTCCAACTTCTCTGATGCAGGAATGTGTCCGCCGTGCCAACGCCGTCGTGAAGCTTTCCCCCCGCGGCCGCTTTGTCCTCATCGTTAGACACCGCGTGGAATGTTAATATCAACCATGTGGGGGCCTTGAACCTAAAAACTCCTCAGGCCTCCGGGGGTTAGAACTGAGTTTTAACGCTCAAGCTCAGGCCTCCAGGGTTAGAACTGAGTTTTAACGCTCAAGTAACAAAATACACACTTGCCCGGTCGGTGGTGATATCCTAACAATAACAAATAAGGTAAAGTTGATCTTCATTCCAGCTGTTGTTCGTCGACAATCAGCATTATGACATTGGGGAGTTATGCAGAGCTGTTTGCGATCCCAAGGACTTCGCACATTGGTATTTTGTAGCCTGCGTTACTCGGACCGTGAGCTCCAACAAACAGAACTGAGGAATTTGGCTGGGCAGGACTTCCCCTGGCTCTCTCTGGGGGGAGGTAAAAGGTTTTTATATGTGGAGATTCTTTGAGGGGGCCTAGTGAGAGGGAGGAGGGGGTGGAGAGAGGCTGATCCAATTCAGGGAGAGGGCTATCTGACTTATTTGCATAATGCTCTTCTCCTGAATTCACCTCAAGACTACAAAACAGCCGTATGCAAAACTAACTGATTTCATTTATTTGGGTTGTCTCTATTGGGTCTTTGTCTCCAGCAGAGATGACGCAGTCTGTATTTATCTCCAGCGTGAGCAGATAAGCCGGTGTCAAAGGTGTTACCGCTGTATGGTTGTAAAATGACGGTACACGTTGTATTAGGTTCTTAAGAAAATGACATCAGAAAAAAAAATCATTTACAAATGACTCATTGAAAGGTATTTTTTTATCTTGAATTTTTCCTTTCTTTGTTCAAGTTGTGCTTTTTACATTTGTTTTCTTTCTCATAGCTTAAATTAACTAACATGAAATAAACATGTTTAAAGGCATAGTTTATTAAACTACCATTTTTTTTTGCTAATTTATTTTTTACTTTTTAATTTTTTTTAATTTAACCGTTTAGCTCTTCAGGATATCTTAATGGAACTTCTGGGATGATTTAGTATTTTTGTTGATCTATATGTACATGTGTATAGTTAATGAGGTATTTTTCTGTCTGACTGCAATAAGAAAGCTGACTCTCTTATGTATTGCACTAATGTGTTTTCTGTTTGACATGTGATCATTTCTGCTGATGTGCCCCCTGACTCTAACTACCTCAACAGTTTCTCCTTATAAACTCATCCTCCCTGTCGTCATCATCTCCCTTTTCCTGCTGCTCCAGCTGCACCACAATCACCAATCACCAATCACCAATACCTATTCACGCTGAAAAGGCCACAGGTGGACGAAGTTATTCCCAAATGACCTGGTCGGGATGGTCAGCTGAGATAGAAAGGTACGTGACTTTTGGATTTTCACACTTGTTTTGATTCAAGATGTACATTTTAGCAACTAACTTGTTTTTTTTTTGCTTTGCTCTAACTAATTAAGAAAAAGTCTTTTGCAGTGCATTTCTAAAAACAATGTTTGAATTGAACAGAAACCAGACAGGCTGCAGTGCATTTCTAAAAACAATTATCTACATTGTTTGAATTGAACAGAAACCAGACAGGCACCAGTTGGAAGAAGTACAGTCCTCAAGGTAAGTGAGCTACAAATGTGCTCACACCAAAACTTCCGTAATACCATCAGTCATCTCTGACTTTGGTTTATTTAACAGACCGGTCATCCTGGATCAAGATCTTCAACACAGTAAGGAGCCTCATTTTTTCTTCATTATTTACTCTTCCAGGACGGCGTGCCCTGCTGCAAATGTCCACCTGTCTTTTGTCTTGTTTGCTTCCTTTCTGTGTGGAGTTGTGAGTTATAGCTGAGCTATAAGCTGTGGAATCTGGGTTTGGGCTAGAGCCATGGACAGGAGGATGGTTAGCCGGTCAGTGAAGTCTTGGAGGTGGTTGGTTCTGTAATTCAAGGGTGGTCATGGAGTAGGTAATTCAGCAAGTAGGTAAACTTTGGTAAATGTTTTGTCCTTGGCCTACCCCTTCTTTACGTTTCTGCCCTGTCCCAGATCCTCCGTCATAGTTTACATCTGAGCAGCTGCCTTTGCTGATGTCATGAAACAGGAATCCGTCTGCAGTTTACTGACGACACCAAATACCTTCTGTCACATTGCTGGTATTTTTAATGAGTCTGCTAAGCAAAATAAAGCCCAGTGCTATTCAACAGGTAATTGAGTACTGTATATTTTGGCAAAGTGACAAAATATGCATCAAGACTGTTGAGATTAAAGAAGAAATATGTGAGCTATTTGTTTTCTCTCCCCTTCTGGGGGAGAATATTCATCTGCAAACTCCGAATTACCAAAAGGCTTGTTGGAGTATAGACCTCATGGGAAATATTCAGCATCCTGTCAACGTTGAGAATTTAGCTCTAATTTCCTGGCCTGTAGGTGGGGCTAAGTCCACATTTTTTTAAATTCTCATCTACCTGTAAACTAAGTCAATTTTTTTTTTACAATGAGAAACAGTGAGGAAATCTATCCATCCATCCACATACCTATCTATCTATTTATCTATGTGATTGGATTGCTGTCCTTTCTATTTATGTATGTATGTGTGTATATATATAAAATGTATATATGTATGTATGTATGTATATATGTATGTGTATGTATATGTATATATACATACCGTACATACATACTGTATATATGTATGTATATATATATTTTTATATATACATATATATACATACATATGTATGTATGTATATAGTATATATTTTTATATATACATACATATATATGTATGTATA